CCTCTCTCACTCTCTCTTTAAAAAAAAAAAAAAATGTGGCTCCCAATATGGCATTGGCCTTTTTGACCTTGGACATACCTGGACTAGGAAGATTATTGCATTACTATAGGCAGGGGTAAGAATATAGATATGGTCGTAATTAGCTTAGAATGATGATCCTTTTGATTATATCGTATACTGTTAGATGATGATAAGCATTCCAATAATGAGAAATGAAATTGGCATTATCCCACACTATAAAACTGTAGTCAAAACAGACTCTTAATATAATTGAACTCCCAACTTTTTTTTGTAAAGAAGTATTTCAGTGATTTAAACTCACTTTTAGATATTTTTATTCTTTCACTTATTTATTCAGGTGGAAATCACAGTACCTGAGAATGTATAATATTAAAACTGCTAGAAATTTTAATCTAAAGTTCATTTTATATCACTTAGTAACATATATACACATTTAATTTCAGAAAGAATATTTATGATAAAAGTTTGTTATTAACTCTGATATTTTCTATTTTAAAAGATAGTGTTCAGATCTAAATTATTTCCACGTCCTTATAATGGGTCAAACATCCTGTTTGGGGAAAAGAACCCTGTTTGATCAATAAATGACCATACATAGTAGCTTCTGTTAGGTTAGTTCCTTTCCCATACACATTTAATTTATGGGAATCAGTTATGTGTGATTGGTGGGAAAAGTTTGATTCCAGGTACCATTTCACTCCATTGGAATGCCTCAGAGTAGAAAATAAGCACTTCTTTTAATGTGAGCATCTTATCTCACTATAGGTAATTTTATTATTTAAACATTTTTTCCTATGACTGCCACATTAGCAAGCAAACTACATATAATGCTTAGCTGAAGAAAAGGTAGTTGATTTCAGTGTGAAAAGCTGTCTGTATTGTGCTTACTGAGGATTGTAGTTTAGCTTCCAAATACAGCTTTTGTCTAAGGAATTTTTCAAGGGTGTTCCAAAAGGTGATTCTGAGTCCATGAAATTTATGACCTTTTTTTTTTTTTTTTGTGTGTGTGTGGATTTAAAGCCTAACTCTATTATATTCTTAATTTTTATTATATCTTTCAAGAATGTATTGTTTGTGACAAAAGAAGCTGGAGATATGAATATATGCATGTTTATCACAATTTATAGAATACCAGGTGAGGAAAAGTAATGTTATATAGTGTTCATAAAGCTTATTTTCTGTTTTAGTAGCAACCAAAATATTTACTAAACCTACAGAGCAATTTCAGATAAAACATGTAGGACATGTAAATTACCAAATTTAATGATGAAAATAACTTTGGAAGCACATGATATTGGAAGTAAGAGTGTATGATCAGAGAACTAGTTCCCTTATATTTTATGTTGGAAACCTTGTCAAGTCATTCAAAAAGAAAAAAATAAATTTGAGTATGTATTGTGGAATTAGATTCCTCCTCATTGTTAGTGGCTATATTCTAATAGGAGAACTTTTTGTGAAGTTATTTTTCATAATGATAATTTGCTGAGTGGCTACTTTGTGTCATATTTGCAAACAAATTCCTTCCATGGTTTCCTTGAGTTCTGATGGGCGAATTATTTGTTTAAATGTAGGAAATAGTTTTTGAAGGTTTGGTGAATTCATTCTTCCATTAGAGGCAAATTAAAGGCCTAATATATTTCCAGAATGAATCCATGTGTTGGGAGAGTAGGTACCCACTTCAAAAGGGGCAGTTTTGGGTGTTTGTGTTTATATTGACAGTGTCTATTTCCATAGAAGCTGATAAGTAAAAGACAAAAACCAATCTACCTCTAAGGAATTTAGAATCAAGTCATCTATCATTTAGTCAGCTGTTTCATAAGCTAGGGGCTGTTTAATAAACTTTATGAGAGGGATTAGGAATTTTTAAGTATTTGATTGTGTTTGGAAGTTCTGTACAGAAAACAAATAATTTTATTATGAGTGATTTTAAAGGCTTTTAATTTTAAAAAATTTAAAAAATATCTTTAAGTGTCTGAAATAGGGAAAATACAAAGAATGTGATTGGCAATAGTTTCCTTGTTTATATATTTTTTGGAACAGTTTGGAAATTAGTTCTGTGGTATTTTTTTTTGGAGTGGTTAACTTTTTCTATATGAGAAGGATCTTTTTAATAATTAGAGGGATAATCCACATTAAATTTAATATGACATTCAAATAATTAAAACAAAATTCTTGGGCTGGGGTTGTGGCTCAATGGCAGAGCACTCGGCTCGCACATGCAAGACCTGGGTTCGATCCTCAGTCCACATAAAAATAAATAAATAAAATAAAGGTATTGAGTCCAACTACAACTAAAAAATAAATATAAAAAAACCCCACAAAATTCTTAATAGTCCTGCAATCCATTTTTAACATTTTTAAATTTCAGTGCTGGGAATTGAATTTAGGGACTTGTCCATGCTAGGCAAGCACTCTGTTGAGCTATACCGCTGGCCCTTCATTTGTAGCATTTTATTATTCATCAAAAGTCTTACTTTGGTTTTCAAATTAGCAGACATGATGGCTATACTTAATAATAATGTATTACATGCTTGAAAATTAGTTAAGAGAATAGATTTTAATCTTTTTTACCACCAAAAAAGCTTACATGAAATAATGGATATGTTAATTATTTTGATTTAGCCATTTCACAACATATATGAAAATATCATATAACTATAAATATAAGCCATTTTGTCAATTAAGAAAATAAATTTACCAACCCTCTTCCCCCACAAATTCTAGAAGGCTGAGTAAATATATTTATAATCTAGGAGAAGACAAGACATTTCTAACTAGTACCTAAAATCCATAAGCCACCAGGGGAAAGATGTATAAATTTGAATATATTAAATTAATAACTACTGTTTTTCAAGAAAATTCCCATTGTAAGTAAGTTAAATAAACAAGAGCAGTCTGGAAAAAAAGTATTTCTAACCCACTTGGCAGGCATAAACCTAATTTTATAATGTCCTCTAAGTTTCAATAGCACCTCTTATATTTCATTGGCAGAACTTGGGCACATAGCCATAGACAAGAAAGGCCAGTGTGAGATAGTTGGCCAGCAAAGTACCAAAATGGTTTCTGTAACTAAAAGAAGAGAATGGATAATGGAGAAAGATATTAATTCAGGTATCTGCCACATAATCAAACAAATGCAGGATTATTAAATGAAATATGCCATGAAAAAAGAAAGACAAAGGGTAAGGGGTTGCAGAGACTTGTGAGTCTTGATAGCTTTTATAAATATGGTAGTCAAGGAAGACTTCCCTTAAGGCAGTGATATTTAAGCAAAGACTTGAATGAAGTGAAGGAGTAATCTATATAAAAATCTGGTAAGTAATACATTATGTACAAATACCCTACTGCGAGTAGAGTAACAAAGTCATTGTGAACAAAGGGGAGAGTGAAAGATGAGGCTAAACAGCTACATGTGAGGATGATGTGGGGTTTTTAGGTTTGGTAAAGAGTTTGGATTATCTTCTAATGGGAACCAATTGGAGAGTTTTGAATTGTAAGGGTAAGAACCATTGTAGAGAGCTAAGAAAGAAATGGTGTTGATTTTGATGAGGGAGATGTTAGTAGAAATGGTGAGGGTGATTGGAATTGGGATGTATTTTTTTAGTGCCATTTACTGATGGTTTAGTTATAAAGTATGAATAAAAGAGCAATCAAGATTGCTTTCTGCATTTTAGGTTTTTGAATTAATGAGTAGATGATGATGATGCCATTTTCGGAGATGCAGTGGGCAGATTTGTAAGAGGGTAAAAAATCAAGAATGTTGTTTGGACAAATTAAATTTAAGATGCCTATTAGGCATTCAAGAAAATCATCAGGTAGCCAGTTGGAGCTATAAGTGTGGACATAAGAGTACAGGGGCCAGTTAGAAAGATAAGTCTTAGTGAAGAGTTTGTATGTAAAACCATGAGACTGACATGAGGTCTACATGGGTAGTAGCTTTGAACATATTAATGTGAGGATTTTTCAGAAAATATTGGTGCTTGAATCTTACTTGAGACCAATTAATCAGAATTTCTAGATTGTCACTATTTTTTAAAAGGTCCTCAAAATTGATTTCTAACTGTCTACTAGAATTAATAACAATTGACTTTTGTGGTAAGGATTGAAACTTTCAGTTGTCCATTTGATTTGATAGTATCTTGAATAATAACTTTATCACATGGGGAGAGAACTCTTTTGGAAGATACTGTAGAGTGAAAAGGAGGTACGGCAGTAGAGATAGTCTTAAATTATCTTGCTGAAAAGGGGAGCTGAAAACTGGTGTAGTAGTTGCAGGGCAATTTTAAAGTAAATTTGCCTTGACATTTAGTATTTCAGTATTTGCATCCCAAAATGCAAGTGATAGAAGTATTAAAAGTGAATATGGGTTACCAATATAAGACATTAAAATAAAGCTTTCCTGCCATTCTTTCAAATAATTCACTGACATAGAACCTAGGGATCAAGGAATATGTTTTTTGTTTTTAAATTTAATGTAATGTTTTATCTGATGACTATATAAAGCAATGCACTTAAAATACCTTTTTTTTTCTTCTTTTTTTTCCTTTAAGGCTGATAAAGAATTTGTATGGTCATTGTGGAAACGCCTCCAGGAAAAAAATCCAGATCTCACACAGGCTGTCAGTTTAGTTGTGGAAAGGTGAGTTCCCAAATTAATTTTTCATGAGTATTTGGATTGTTGAATTTGTTTCATTATAATATACTAGCTTTTTGTTGCTGTGACAAATACGTTTCTAGTAGTCCATTCTGCTGTCAGTGGATTAATCCACTGATGAAGTCAATGCCCTCATGTTCCAACCACTTCTCAAGAACCCCACTGCTGAACATTTCTCCACTGGAGTCTAAGCCTTCAATACATGAGCCTTTAAAGGACATTCTAGATCCAAACTACAACAATTTCTCTTCAGTGTTAAACTTAAAACTTGTCATGAATGCCCTGAAGAGATTATTGATTTCCAAACAAATGTGGAACAGAGTATTATAATTATTAGATTTATTACAACAAGGGCCAATTCACCAAGTACAGACAGGGCTTAATTTCCTGTTTATATTCTGACATATTTGGGGGATTTTCAGGTAAGAGAAAACTATTACTTATATACTATGTGTGTGTGGATATTTGTGTGTGTGCATTTGTATTGAGCTATTATAGGACAATTGAAAAAATTGAAGAAGTTCTTGCTATTTGACTTCTTACTCCATAGACTGTCCCTGTGGACTTCCTAGACCTGATTCAGTTTTCCCCTAAGATAACTGCAGTATATACTTGAAAGCCTGGGATGACCTTGCCAGAGTAGAGTAAGTACTCTAGAATAGGTTGAGAGATTTTACTTATACTTGTATTACTCTGTAGGGGATGCCCAGTCATTTAACTATAGATTATTGGGCCTCTCTTTGGTCATTAGAAATAGTCTAGTGTTGCTGGATAATACTTATCAAACATTTGGTATACAGTAGTCCCATGACACTTAGAACAGCACTTAAAACACTTGCTTTCCTATTAAGTGAATTTCATTATATTTCCTAAATGAGAAGCTAAACATATGGATGCCTTTCTCTTTTCTTCTCCCTTTTTTCTTTATTGGAATCATGATCATAAAATCTGAACATCATTTTTGATAACTTGAACTGTATTTACTTTTGAATCTCTGGCACTGGGATTATTCCTACTGGCTGGAATTTGACTTGTTAAAATCTGTGATGCATACTTAACTATGTCCTATTTTAGTATCCTTGACTGTGTAGACTCCTAAAATGTGTAATCAGTTTCTCCTCATGTTGCTGATATGCTAATTTATCAACCAGGTTTCTCCTTTTGATGATCAGAATTAAGTCCTTTGTTCAAACACTGGTTGTTACTTCTTCAATCATCTTGAGATGATATGTGATCTGTCTCCCTTTATTTTTTAATTTGAAGTAGGCTAAGCTTTCTAGGGAAGGTCTTGGGACTTCAGTTGTTATTTCTGTGATTCTTCTTCCTTCTCTCCTTTTATTTGTAAGTTTATTTCAACTTTTTAAAAACTGTCCATAATTTGTACTTTCTACTTGGTTGAGGAGAAGCAAATATTAAAATATCATGAGGCCATTTTCCTCATCCTTTATAATTCCTTTTAATATTTATAATATACTTAATGTATGTTTTTATAAGAGAGTATATACAAAATTTGTATTTTATAAAAAAAATACACATATTAGAACAGGTACTTAAAAGCCTTTCATGCATATTGAAATAACATGTATAACATGTTACACATGTATATACATGTATAACAGGATAACGTGTATTGAAATTTTTGGAGATTACTGTTTTATAGCTATCATTTTCAAAATTCATTATACCCAAGATATACTTGGACAATTTAACAAAATATAGCTTTGTCAGGCTTTCTCAGTCTACTTAATCTCTATTTGTGGATGTAGCTCAGTGGTAGGGTGCTTGCCTAGCATGTTTCAGGCTCTTGATTTTTTAAATTGGAAACCTATAGTTGCATGTATAATTTTATGACTATGTAAATGTTTATTTTTCAGAGAACTGTGTAGTATGTTTGAATCTATTGAGAAATGAAAATTGTATGGCTCTCAATCTGTATCTTTCAAAAAATATTCTAAATATCAAAGTCAAGAAGATTATGGAAAGAACCTATTATCTGACCCAAAATAATTAATTACCTTTAATTACCCAAACAAAAGTCTTGATTTTCCTGGACAATATTTTTCAATATCTAATTTACCTTATTTGTACTTTCTTTTATAAAGACTGCCAATATTCTTTGTAAGACATTTGCCTAATGGGCTAAAGATATTTTTCCTTGGGTTTTTTGCCTTAAGGTGTGGATTTGGACCAGTTGCTTTCTAAACCTACTCTCAGCTGTCAGCCTAGGTTTTCTTTATTGTACACCTGTACTTACTCTGTAGTTTCTAGTGTCTTATATCTTCCTTTTCCTTTAGGTTGGATTATTTTTTCAAGTGTTTCCTCAAAAAGAATGTGCTGGTGGTATATTTTCTGACTTCTTATATGTCTCAAAATGTTCTTTTGCCTTTATGTTTGCTTGATACTTCAACTGAATACAAAATTTTATGTTCATGTAGTTTCCCTTGGATTTTTGAAAGCATAGCTCTGTTATCTTATTTCAGTATAGCATTGTGCTACTGTTAGAAATACCAAGGTGCCACAAGAAATCAGACATGTGCTTGATAGTGGGTGAGTAAAGCAAACTTTTACTCTTGCCAGAAGGGTGTCCTACTGGAATCTGGGTGGCAAGTGCACCTGGGTGGGCAGTCTGCCTGCTTATATTCCAAACACCTAATGGCAGTTCTGTCCTTTACTCTGATTGGAGGATTTCAGGGTTATAATCTATGCAATTGGCTAATTTTAAAATTGGGGTGGGCAAAAGGAAGGACTATAATTAAAATGGCTATAATTGTATCCAATTAAGGCTATATTCTGAAAATGGGCCACCAGACTTTCTATTTCTCACAAATCTCTGCTTTTTCTGTTTTATAACTTTTGGCTTCATTTTCATTGTAACCTTTGGTATTGCTATCCATTCTAGATATATTAACTTTTTGAGGTGGAAATTGCCCATGGTAAGGAATTTTCTGCTTTTTAGCAGTTCAGATCCCCATCCTGGTGATTAGGAGCACTTGGTAAGGTCCTTTCCAGATCACTTGAAGCTTGTCTCCTTTTTAGGTCTTCATTAAAAATCAAGTCACCAGGCTAGAAGTGATGAATTGTAGACTCTAGATTCTGAGATTCCTCAGAGATCACTCTTGGGAATGTGTGAGAAGCCTCTTGACTCTTCTGTCAATGGTGCCATCTACTAGGATGGTTCAAAGTCTTGCTGACTGCATGCTGTTTCCCTTAGAAGCCCCAGAGACATTTCCTTCTCCTGTTACCCTTTTTGTGGCAGAATGTGCATTGGTTGTCTTCCTCTAGGGTCCTCTCAGTTCCCCTGATCAGGAGGTCAGTTGACTCACCAGAGTTGTAGAGCCCTTAAAGAGGTCCCATGATTCCCTGGGTCCTGACTGACTTTAGAGGGCAAGGGCCAAAATACTGGATTCCTTTTCCTTGAACCTTTTACTTCCTTTTATTTGATTTCTAAGTTTTGGTTTTAAACATCTAGCAGGTGAGTTTTACCAGTAACTTTAATATCTGTAATTTTATAGTTATCCCTTCCATTTAACTGGGATTAGTATTAGCACTCAAAGTCAGCTTATATCCTATTCTGCCCTATAGGTGATGGCCTATTATCTCAAATTAACTCAGATTCTTCTGTTAGAAGGAATACTTTTTCAAAACATAAACAGGCAAATGTTATGAAGGTCTATAAGGAAAATACTAAATGAAATATATCTATAAGACCAACAACATATTCAGTTTGTTTAATAGTGTTGAACATAATTTCTATAATAATACTACATATTTGGTATCTATTTTGCCTCCACCAAGACACATAAATATATCAAGTCAGTTACATATGAGGCCCTATACAAATTTTACTTTCTTTTAAAACTCTCTTATAACTTTACATAGCTTTAATAATTTACCCAAACCTTTACTTAATTTTGTATTACATCCCTTGGTTATTTTGAGATCACAGAACTCTTTATAACAAAAATCTATCTTTTGAACACAACTTTGAATACTCTTAAGTCTAGCCTACTTTGGAGCCATCCTAACATGGAGTAGGGTGTGAGGCAGAGACTTACCTTAGGTAAGGCAGGGCTGTTGACAACGCAATACAACATTACATCTGAAATATAAGTCAGACAGAAACTAAGAGAGCTCTTAACTTTTTTGTAGAAAAAGTGGCAAAAAGTTTTTATGTTCTACATTGTGGAACATAAACAAACCAGGCTTTCATTACTTTTCAAAAATACATTTAAATTTCCATCCCAGTGTAAAGAGTAACACAAAGTTTTATGTATAACTTATTGATGAAAAGTTATTTTTATCCAATTATAAAATATTAAATAACATACATAAATCTCAAACTAAACTTATTATTTCTATATAAGTCTGAAAGAGACTACTGCTATAGACAACTCTAGTTTCGAAAATAACAGCCTGGTAATGTATTCCTAAGCTTTACATTTTAAAATACTTGTATATTTCATCCCAGGGGAGGGATCATACAGTCTGGCATATACCAAATCTGTGCCTTAATCTTTTTTCTCCTAGGTGACATTCAGGGGTTAGAGCCAATTTTGATAACACATACATGATATAGACACAAGAACCCATGACCTAGAATACACAGGTTAAAATAAAGCATGTCACAGATTTTTACAGAATGACTCAGACATGAAAAGGGTTTTTGCATTTGGGACCATTAAGAATAGAGTCTGTCAGCCATGTTGGATGCTGAAATCAAAGATTCAGATGGCCATTCATCCTCCATGGGGGCAGATATACTTCCACCATTATTAGTTTACTTACCTGCTCAGGACTTTTCAAAGGAAAAGAAGATTTGTATATATAGGATCTTTCCATTGTTCTTCCTTGTCCTTAGACCTGGAATGTTTTAAAAAAAATATTTATTTATTTTTTAGTTATAGGTGGACACAATATCTTTATTTTATTTTTAAGTGGTGCTGAGGATCAAACCCAGTGCTTCACACATGCTAGGCAAGTGCTCT